TTTTACCGAGATTCCACCACAATGGTACTTCCAGTGTTCCTTTGAATTGCTCCCTGCACTGGCAGTAAGGGATTTTAAATGACTAGCAGATGCTTGTCCTTGACCATTGATTATGATAGTCTTGTGCAGCTCGTGAAACCTTTAACAATCCCAGCTAATAATTCTAGTGCTGATGTTACCAGAGACAGTTTAGTAAACAGCCAGTGCTTCATATGTCAACAGATTTTTGTTTAAATGACACTCAATGATTGGCTGAGATAATCAGTTGGATGCTCTGAGCCAAGCAGCCTGATTCTGCAAGATTCCCCCAGTTTTGAGATTTTTAGAAAACTGAATGGCATGGAGATTCGGCACTGGAACAAAGACTTTAGGATTAAACCTTTCTTGAAAGGTGAGAACAGCGAAAAGGGCCTCCTTATTTATGTATGAGGTTGTTATGGTGCCTAACCTATTCCTTTAACTTGTTGAAAAGTCCCTGAGTCATGCTAGCGCTTGTCAAAGGATATTGCATGGCTGTGTGCTTTTATACACCTGCCAGCAGTAACCAATACAGCAGAAGGTCTTGGATATTTTTCTGTCATTGATTTGTGCCTCGGTACGAAACAGACTGACAACCACTGAAGTAAAGGTTAGATGATATGGAGAGTTACATAAGGGATCTACTTAAAGGACCACTCTAGGCACCCAGAACACTTCAGCTTAAAGGACCACTATAGTGCCAGGAAAACATACTCGTTTTCCTGGCACTATAGTGCCCTGAGGGTGCCCCCACCCTCAGGGACCCCCTCCCGCCCGGCTCTGGAAGGGGGAAAGGGGTTTAAACTTACCTTTTTCCAGCGCTGGGCGGAGAGCTCTCCTCCGATCCTCCTCGCCCGCTAGCGCCGTGCTGAATGCGCGCGACGCGCAAAGAGCCGCGTACAAGATTCAGCAGTTCATAGGAAAGCATTTACAATGCTTCTATGGACGCTATGCGGCTCTCACTGTGAAAATCACAGTGAGAAGCACGCAAGCTTCTAGTGGCTGTCAATGAGACAGCCACTAGAGGATTAGGGGAAGTTACCCATCTATAATTATAGCAGTTTCTCTGAAACTGCTATAATTATGAAAAAATGGTTAACCCTAGAAGGACCTAGACTCCGTGACCACTTCATTAAGCTGAAGTGGTCTGGGTGCCTAGAGTGGTCCTTTAATGAAGTGGTCTGGGTGTGTCCCTCTAGGATCAACCCTTTTTAATAAACATAGCAGTTTCAGAGAAACTGCTATGTTTATAAATGGGTTAATCCAGCCTCTAGTGGCTGTCTCATTGACAGCCGCTAGAGGCGTTTGTGTGCTTCTCGCTGTGAAAATCACAGAGAGAAGACGCCAGCGTCCATAGGAAAGCATTATGAATGCTTTCCTATGAGACTGGCTGAATGTGCGCGCAGCTCCTGACGCGCATGCGCATTCAGCCGGAGGGGAGGAGGAGAGCTCCTCAACTGCCACTGGAAAAAAGGTAAGTTTAACCCCTTTCCTTGCCATCCAGCCCGGTGGGAGTGGTACCCTGAGGGTGGAGGCACCCTCAGGGCACTATAGTGCCAGGAAAACAAGTATGTTTTCCTGGCACTATAGTGGTCCTTTAAGTGATGGATTGGGACATAGAAGGGGGGGAGGAGTGATATTTCACTAGCCTTGTGGAGGTAGATAACGAGTGACATGCCAATGCCACATCTTCCTTAAAACGTCAATCTCTTCCCCATGTCAATTGCTATGTGGAGTAACAGCAAATGATGGTCACGAAGGTGTAGAAAGGTGAGTGCAAATACAGCCCTTCGCACAAGTACACTACATAAAACTTCAATTCAAACACATTTCCAACTTACAAATAAATTGCACTCATAACACAATTTAAAACCTCCATGTACGACAGTTCTGTGTTAGTGTTTCCCAGAATGCCATTAGTGATATGCAAATGTGCACAGCACTCTTTTCAACTCATAGAGATGAATTGAATGAATGAATCTCTATGAGGAAAGTTCAGTTTCTGCATGCAGAGGGAGGAGACATTGAATGTTTGGATGCATTTTAGGCAGCAATGATCCAGGAAGGATCTCTAACAGCCATCTGAGGAGTGGCCAGTGAAGTTATCACTAGGCTGTAATGTAAACACTGCATTTTCTCTGAAAAGACAGTGTTTACAGCAAAAAGCCTGAAGTAATGATTCTACTCACCAGAACAAATTCAATAAGCTGTAGTTGTTCTGGTGACTATAGTGTCCCTTTAAACTAAAAGAAAGATCCTGCAGTCTTTTTTTATTTATTTATTTTTTTTGCAGTGGATAAGAGTATAACAGGCAAGCTTGAGGTACCCCAATGGAAATCCTTCAACAGTGCATTAAGCATTATACATGGGGTAATAGAGCAGACATGCACAATTTTATAATAGACACAGGAATATTACAAAAGAAGTTAAATCAGAGAGACAAGAGACATATGTAATGGCGTTAAGCAGAAGAAACTCCTAAGCGAGGCAGCCACACTGTTATAGTGGTGCATGTTGTGTCAAACTAGATATGCATGTACAGTTTAGTATTCGATATGATCAATCATGCAGGGTATTCATGAGTGTACTATAATGCTGTTATAAGCGAAGAACTGAGTGTTACAGGCTAGACATGTGTGGGTGTGTTAGTAGTGCGTATACATCATGGTATAGTTACAGGCTTTAGGTACCACGGGTTCCCCCTCTTAGTGTGTGCTTGCGGGTGGCATGGATCAGGCCCTGTTCCCCAATACAGGTACGGCTGTGGGTGCATCGTGTGTGTCGATTCCATGTGTATGCCTCATGCATGTATCTATAGTAGGGGCTAACAGATAACTCAGGAGTTGGCCAGCTGCCCATATTAGTGCCCATCCTTATTCAAACATTTATGCTACAGCACGTGGGCATGTAAAATATTCAAGTCCCAGATATCTGAGCGCTCTGTGAGTGAAATCATGTCCAGGAATATAGATGTATACAGGTATGCTGAAATCAGGGGGATAATCCAGCTTGTGGGAGACCTCGCCAGCTATGTGTGCTTGGGGTGCTAAGTACCGGATCATCCTATGCCTCGGCTTTCTACCAGGCTTAGAGGGCAGAGTCCAAGTAAGTCCTTCCCATACCCACGTGCCGTCATGAAGGCCTGCACCTCTTAACCACAAACTTGGTTGCTCGTCTAGGAGGCCGAGTTCTTCCCTTGCAGGAGACAGCGTTGGATCCCAGTGGATAATCGCCGTCGGTGGTCGAAGCTCCTGGAGTATATCCCTGGTGGTCGTCAGCCCGGATGGGCCCATCGTTGGAGGCTGTAGTGTTGCTGTGGAAGGGGCACCCAGGGGTGTCCCGCTTGTCTCCCGCCTCCCTTCTCTCTGCGTATTCTCCGCAGCCGGTGCGCTTGGCATCTCAAGGTGGACAGATCCCTTGCCCATAAGCTGTTGGGGTTCTGTGCCATGTGCGGTCGTATGAGATTACAGGCGCTCTTTGTGGGCCTCACACCATGCTTTGCACGGGGCTTGTGGTTATCAGCCATCCTGGGGGAAACTGCCTGGTCTGTGATTCTCGGCCGGACGGGTGCTTAAGCGTACTTGTGTGTAGTGGTGGTCGCACGTCTGATCCGATCAGCGGTCAGGCTCCGACCGAGATTCTGCATTCTTTTATTGGGTGCTCCTGTAGGTTTTTTTTGTTGTTGTTTTTTTAAACCTAAGTGACGTGTCATACACACAAATTGTTTCATTTGATGAAGCCAAGAGAAG